GTCTGCCCACTGAGCTCCCCGGGCGGTGATGCACTCCAGCTGAGTGGCAGGAGAGCAGGGGGATGGGGTGGAGAGAAGGGCCTCTCAGGACTGAGTTCTCCTGGTGACTCTGGCAGTGGGGAGGCTGTAGTCGGGGCAGTGAGGTGCCTGGAGGCTTTCAGCTTCAGATCGGAAAGAGGTGCAGCAGGGGTTTGAATCTCATTCTCTCTCTACCCACTGAGCTGCCTTCCACCTCCGGGTAGGGTCTTAACCTCCCATTCTTGATCATCTCAGTGTCTTCTAATTTTGATAAGCCTATGAAGCCATCCAGCATTTTCTGACCCTTTGGTTTTTCTGCATTTAAAGACTCAAGCCTGAGAGTCCCTCTGCTTTCTGACCAGTGTGTTGTGACGCTTGTGCGTGGTGATTTCCCACCACAGACAGAAGGGCTTCAGAGCTTGGTCTCCTTGCTGCTGCCTTCCACATCTTAGTGTTCACTCAGCTGTGTGTTCCTGGGCTACATAGATGCATGGCCATGTGCCTGGCTTTCCCAAGCACACATGGACCTGTGCAAACTGAGCAGGCAGAAAGCTCTGTGCCTCTGGTAACCATTGCCTGATAGAGTTCTCCTAAGAACACCATTAGCGGCCTGTGGTACCGGCACCCCAGGTTCTAGTCCCGGTTGGGGCGCCAGATTCTGTCCCGGTTGCCCCTCTTCCAGTCCAGCTCTCTGCTGTGGCCCGGGAGTGCAGTGGAGGATGGCCCAAGTGCTTGGGCCCTGCATCCCATGGGAGACCAGGAGAAGCACCTGGCTCCCGGCTTCGGGTCAGCGCAGCACACCGGCCGCAATGCGCCGGCCGAAGCGGCCACTTAGGGGGTGAACCAAGGGAAAAAGGAAGACCTTTCTCTCTGTCTGTCTGTCTGTCTGTCTCTCTCTCTCTCTCTCTCACTGTCTAACTCTGCCTGTCAAAAATAAATAAATAAATAAATAAATAAATAAATAAATAAAAAACACACCATTAGCAACAGCTGATGAATAGATGTGGAGTAGCCTGAACTCGCCTCTTTTCCAAAGACTGTAGCACACCACCTAGAATGGAACTCTGTGCTTTGTGCAGTGGATGCCTCCATAGCCCCATGCTGGTCGTTTTAGGTGTTTGCCTTCCTGCTTGTTTTCTAACTAGCTCCTTAGTTGGAGACCTGTCCGGACAGGTCTGTGTGGCACGTAGACCATGGGGAGAGTGTATGCTGCAGGGGAATCGGTGCAACAAGCATTCGTTGGAATGGAGAGATGGCTAAGATAGGATCTCGCCTTCCAGGAACTTCTGTCTTCTGGGAGAGAACATTTCTGCAGAATGTTTCCATGCAGTGATAAAGTGTGCACACGGGGCTTCCTGGGGGCTCTCTGGCAGTGAGTGAGTCGTGGAGGGTGACCCAGCCCAGCAGGTGAAGGACATGAGTGAGAGACATGGCTGGGCAGGGCCCGGGCAGCATGAGGAAGGAGCCAGGCCTTGTGGAGGAACTGGGACACTGTCCTCAGGTTAGCCTGTGGAGATTGTGGGAGAGGATGGACCTGCCTTGGTGTTGGCACCAGCCCCAGGGAAGGACTGGCTGGCTTACCAGTGCTTTCAGTCTTGCCGAAAACGTCTGGTGATGAGTGTCCTCTGCAGGGACTTGTGAGGACAGAGCTCTGCCCTCTAGTGCCTGCCTCCTGGTGGCACCTCAGGTGCCAGGCTCCACTCCTAGGTTGCTCTTTCTCCAAGACCTCACAGCCTGTGTTTTGTAGCTGGAATGTGCCAGGCTGGTTTGTGTGGTATCTCTCTCTCAACCCCGCAATTAAGAAAGCAGGTGATTGTAAGTAAGTCCTCATTCCAGAGTTTAAAAAGTGAGTCTCAGATTGAGCAAGCGTCTTGCTGCTGGAGGATTGAACTGAGGTTTGCATGCAGCACTGCTCTCTGGCTCTAAGAAGGTGCTCTGAAGGCTGCCTTTCTTGGGGTGACAAGTTAAAGGTTGTATATGTACACCAGGGCCAAACAGTACCTTCAGGAGACCTGTGTGGAAAAAGCTATGCTTGCAGGAGATTGAATTAGCAGGGAGAGAAATCAGTGGGCTTCCTTTAAACCAAAGGTAGGGAACTTCCCAGCCCATGGGCCACATAAAGCCCTTGAAGTCACTTGGTCTGGCCCTGACAAGGCAACCGCAGGCGGGACTCGAAGTTCTAGAAACCTATAGCAGGCTAATTTTTCAGTTGATAATTTTGCATGGCTCCTGAATGATGTTATAAATATCCAAATGGCCCTTGGCAGAAGAAAGGTTCCCACCCCTGCAAACAGTACTTATGTGCAGTGGAGTGAGATACCATAAATGCTAGGACAAAGCTAAAACTGCTGATGAGAGCAGGTCTGCTCACTCTGCTGAGGTGCCTGGGAAGGCTGAGCCTGCTGCCTGCAGGCACTGGTGGCAGGGTGGGCTGGCTGTGCATGGCCAGGGCCCATGAACTGGAGCAACCCCTGTAGGACCCCAGAGAAGCCTTCTGTAGACTCTGTCCTTGCTTCCCATCCCACACTAGCCTTCTATCTCATCCTGGCCTGCTGGGGGGATATGTATCAGGTGGGAGAGCCCCCCCTTCCCCATGCGCTGCCTCCCTGAGCCTCTGCATCCTCTGCCTGGACCATCCCCACCCCCCTACATCAGAGGGGTGCCGCCCACTCATTTCACCTCTGGGTGCAGAGCTCTAAGCTCAATCCTGAGAGACAGGAGCCACTGGGTTGGTGCTGAGTAAACACACATAGCAGTTACACAAGGCAAGAGGAAAGATGGTAAGGAAAACAGCTTTAGTTCCTGAGGATCTTAGGAATCACTTGAGAATAGGACACGACTGTTCTGCCTTTCACATACGTAATGAGCCCAGATAAATCTCAGATTTCTTGACACCCATCCTTTGACGTGTACTTGGTGTTTACCCTACCATGCTGACACACAGGGCTCCATCCTGGCTGTTGAAGGCCTCAATGCTTTGTTGCAGTAGGGGACCCACAGGTGGTGCATTGTGTCCACAGGGTACTGGCCAGGTTTGGTCAAGGTAGCAGGAGACAGCTGCCCCCGAAGGAAAGTTCAGAAGGCCTCTTTAGAATTCAGAGAGGCAGGGCTCCTTTAAATAGGGGCATACTCTCAGCAGATGGGAGAATGAAGGGAGCTCCCATACGGAACTCCTGGGTGATGCCCAGGCTTGCTGGCTCCTTGGGTTACAGGTAAACACTTCAGCCCCTGTCCAGTGGTCAAAAGAAACACATGTGGAAATGTCACCAGAGCTCCAAAGTAGCTGCTTTGTCATGTGGGCATCAGGGGCAGTGGACCTCAGAATTGAGAGAGGAACGTTGTCCATCAGATATGCCGGCCACATGTGAGAGACACAGTTTTCTAATCCAGCAGAAGGGAGTTAATGTAAGTAACCAGTGGGGGAGAAGCAGGGATGGCGGTAGTCACTGCAGTGATTGTGATGTATTAGGTGCCACCAAGAGCACCCTGTGCCCAGGGCTTAGATTCTCCCAGCTCCCCCGAGGCCTCAGGCTGCTCTCTGCCTTACTAAGCTGGACTCAAAAAGAGAGTTCAAGTAGATGCTTGTAAATCAGTTCTCTCTGCTATGCTATGTTTACCTCAAAATAAAATCAGCCCTAATCTCACTGCCCCCAGATAAGCAGTGTTAACCTTCTGTGCATTTCTCTCCAGGCTTTTTATGATGCTAGATGCCAGGTATTGGCCATGAGTAGCCAAAGCCCATATGGAGCATTGTAGTGAAAAGGCTACACTGTTAGTAGCCTGGCCAGCTCCCGAGATACCAATTTTTAAGGGAAGTGAAGTCTGCTGTGTAGGGTTGAAAAGGATTCCCTTTACTGTTCCACAGAGCAGGGAGGACACAGAGACCATAAGGCACACTCCTGGACAAGGCCTGGTCCTAGAGAGCAGACCTCGTGGCTCCAGGGTTGGATCAGTGCCTCAGTTAGGGCCGGGGTGGCCTCTGAGTGCACTGTCTGGCGTGCAGTTCAGGTCACCTGGGTGGGAACCCCTCCTGGCCATCTCCCGTGTCCTCTGACTTACATGTGCTCACTTCCTCACCTTCATGCGCATGACTAGAGCTGCTTTCCAGACTGCTGTTTCTCCGTGGCCAGTCTGCTGAAATCACAAGGAGGGTTTTACTGTTGCATTATAAAGATCAAGCTGAGCTGTTTTGAGTCACAGAACATGACAGAGGGATCTAAGTGGAAGGCCCTGTCCAGGGCTGGCAGCAGGGACAAAATATTAAATTTTCATTGCACTTCGTAACAAAAATGCATCTTCCCAGAGGTCAGAGGCTGCTCTTGTGGCTGTGAGCAGTCATTCGTGCACTTTGTTAAAAGTGCAAGGTGAGGGGTAATGTGAGCACAGATCCTTAGGCAGCCATTTTCTGCAAGAGACTCCTTAGGGCCATGCGTCAGGGTCCTCTCCCTGACTACCCAGCTGCTCTGCACCGAAGCCCCCTTTGCATCAGTCCTGCAGTCACTCTGAGCCCCACTCGGCCTTCTTTGGTTGTTGGTGTCCCACAAGCCTCTGGAAGGCATTTGCTGGGTCCTCCATTGCCTAGGGCAGAGAGTCTCAACCCTCATGCATTAGAACCTCTGAGGGCTCATGAACGCAGCGGACTGGGGCTCACCTCCAGCCAGAGTCAACCCATGAGTCAGCAGGCCTGGGACGAGCCAAGCTGTTGGGCTGCTAACGAGGTTCCTGGGATGCTGCTGCTGTTGCTGCAGGAACTGTGCTTGGAGAACCACTCTCCTAACCTCTCCTCTCCTCCCCTCGCCTCTCCCATACCCCCCTTTAACATCACCCTCCAGTCACTCTGATTTTCCTCTAGCGTGAGCCAGAGGAAGTAATGGATGCTGTCCGGCAGTCAGGGCACTCGTTCTCACTGAGCAGAAGTGGCGTGGGCGTGTGGTCTGTCCTCCCTCGGCCCACAACGCTCATTCTGGCCCCCGGTGTTGCAGGTGGTGAGAGCCGCCGAGGAGGCTGCGTCCACGCTGGCTAGTTCCATCCACCCGGAGCAGTGCATCAAGGTGCTCTGCCCCATCATCCAGACGGCCGACTACCCCATCAACCTCGCCGCCATCAAGATGCAGACCAAAGTGGTCGAGAGGATTGCCAAGGAGTCCCTGCTGCAGCTCCTGGCTGACATCATCCCCGGCTTGCTGCAGGTAGGCCCCTCGCCCTGTTTGGGGCTGAGGGCCAGCATGGGGCGGGTAGGACGGCAGGCCGTGCCCTGAGTGCTGGGTGACAGGGATGCTTCACAGCCTCCTCTGACTGCTGGTCTACCCTGTCCTGAGTGTAACAGGAAGGCATGCCTCCGAGAGGGAGCTTTCTGTTTACTGTAAACATATTTTGATCTTTTTTGTTGCTGCTCATTCCTTCCACAAACCCTTAGGCACACCTCATGTGGCCCCAGCCCTGGGTGAGGTAGGTCAGGGAGGGTAAGTGAGACAATGGTTGCTCTTATGTCCAACAGATACCAACAAAGTTAGCCTGAGGCCCTGAGCTAGACAGAGGGACAGATAAGAGAGGGTTCTGTGTGGCGCTGCCTCAAATGCTTTCCAGCCTGTTGTGGGAAACAGCACGGCTTCAGAGGACGGTGCGGGAGGGTGGTTTCCAGCTGGAGTCTGGGAGAGAAAGGGGTTTTAGCTATGACAAAGGGAGGGGTGATTCAATTGCTCATTTAATGTTTGCTGGGCACTGGGGTTGGAGATTTCAGCTTTAACAGTGGAGGGCTGGCTTACTCCAGATAGCATAAAAACAGGCAGCCCCATGCAGTGGGGTTGCAGCAAGGTGCAGCTGCAGAGGGACACGAGTGGTCCCAGCAGGCCCTGCAGTGCAGAGGGTTTCGCCCCAGGAGCAAATGGTGGCACTCTCATGTCTCTACATGCACAGTCACACACGAATCTGCTTTACTCCCCAGGAGTTCTTTCTCCTCCTCATTCTTCTCTTCCTGTGTCCTTCCCACGTCATGTTTTGGGTGGCAGCTTGTGAGAAAGTGGTGCCCATGCAGACCTGGGCTGCTCCCATGCCCCGGGAACCAGCCGCTCTGACAAACGTCAGTTGTGGCCCTGTCGGGGTGAAAGCTCTCTGGGTTTGGTCACAGGACTGAGGTCAGTGTCGTCCTGGTTGGGACCAGCAGCTCTGAGGCCGAGCTTGGGCACCTTGGTGGAAATGCTGATGAACTATTGACTGTGATGCTGATTTTTGATCCGATTTCCCCTGTGTGTTCCCCTTTGGCTCTCTAGGGTTATGATAACACCGAGAGCAGTGTGCGCAAGGCCAGCGTGTTTTGCTTAGTGGCAATTTATTCCGTAATCGGAGAAGATCTGAAACCTCACCTGGCACAGCTCACAGGGAGCAAGGTATGTATACTGTTCCCCGGGCTGCCCGGCTGAGCTCTCGTGACTGTGGCTCGGGCTCCAGGCAGATTTTCCTCTTGTATGCACCCTCACTGGGCCTTTTTTCTCCAAGAGCATTTTTCTGAAGACATATATACACATTGAAGTTGTTCTGAGGTGATACTAACATGATACCACATAGTCTATTTTAACTTGCTTGGTTTTTCACTTGGAAACACAAAATTTGACTTCAAAATATGTACATTTTAAATTAGTATTTTCAGTAGAATGTATTTATTAGCCAAAACAAAACTCCACCACAAATGAACAATTTATTTCCTAACCATATTTTTAGCATTTTTTTTGTTCACAACAAATGTATGTTTAGGGGCTACAGTATGACATTTCAGCACATGTGTATAGTGTGTGCTGATCCTGCCCCCCCTTTGAGTTTATGGTCAGAACCTGGGAGCTCTCCTCCTCTGCTTACAGAATGCATAATGGCTTATTGTGAGCTAGAGCCACCCCACCTTGCTGTGCAACACTAGGCACTTGTCCCTTCTGTCAGCTTCTGCTACTGATGGGAGGACAACTTTGAACTACTAGTTTATCCCCAAAGACAGCTTTGGTGAGAAACCAGGTGTGTGTCAGAGAAACACGAAGGAAATGTATCTGTTCACTTAACAAGGAGCTGAGTGGGAGCCGAGCACCTTGAGGACATCAGCAGTAGTAATGGGGGCTCCCGCCCAAGCCCTGATCCCTGCACTTGGCAGGTGTGGACTGTCGTTTGTGATGCCGCACTGTGGGATGAGGGCATGCACAGATGGGCTCCAGCAGCAGCCTTCTTAACACTCTCTGCTGCCTCTCATGTTGCTTTTGGAATGTTGCGTGGTAGGGGAAGAAGATGGACCAGACAGACTTGGCTCGTTAAGGATGAAGTGGCTGGAGTGCTTCTTGGTTAACAACTTGTTTACCACACAACTCAGCTGAACCAGCAGGCCAGGTGGGAGCAGGTAGACGGCGCCATGCCGTGGCAGGAGAGGCACTCCCAGGAAGGAGGCTGGTTGAGTCTGTCAGGGTCCTACCCGGGGTTTGCTATGGGGAAAGCATGTCTCTACGGAGCTTAAAACTCCCCTGGCGGAGATGTGGGTGCACACCATCCTGTTGAGCTAAGCCAGTAGAGAGCAGGAAGCCAGCATGCTTGACCCTACTCTTTAGGAGAGAAGACATGGGTGTGGGGGCCCGTTTCTGTCCAAATGGAACTGTAGTCTGGACACAGCAGGTGGGCTCACAGAGCCTGGTTTCCCTGAGTTCCAGGCAAAGATGGTGCTGCCCGTTTTTCCAGAGCAGAGTTCCGGCCTCAGCACTAGCGGCACTGTGGACCAGCTTGCTATGGGTGCTGTCCTGTGCCAGTAGCACAACCCCTCAGTTGTGAGAGCCACTAACATCTTCCTCCATACGTGGCCAGACATGTCCTGGGGGAGCAGAATCGCCCCTGGCTGAAAACCGCGGTCCAGGTAGTCTACTTTCCTTGCAGACAAGAATTGGCAAATGAAGCAGACGTGGACGGATGACTCAGGGCTGCCTTACCTGGTTCCATCCCCAGTTTCTCCTCCTTTCATCTGCCTTCTTCATCAGTTCCCTTCCCTAACCACCACCTGAGACGTGCTGAGCGAGAGTCACCCAGCCCTGTGTGTGCCGGGCCGTGAACCCTGCTGGCTCCTGAGGACAGGGAGGACCTCAGAGACACTCTTCTACTCAAAGGGAACTAAATCCAAAACCATGGTGAAAACTTTAGCAGAGACATGATTTACACGTATTTTCTCCTCTTCTGTGAATTGCTTTGTTACTTTTTAAAAATCAGTTGATTTATTTATTTGAAAAGCAAAGACAGATAGTGAGCTGCCACCCACTGGTTCACTCCACAGATAACCACAGTCTCGTCTCTTTTGTGCCTGTTTGATTTTTGTAATGAAACATTTAAGTTCATCCTCATTTCCTGTTGTGTATATTCTATAGTTTTCTCTGTGGTTGCCATGGGGATTACATTTGATATCCTAAAGTTATAACGCTCCAATTGGATGCTTTCTGGCTTTTTCACTTGTAAAACAGGAGACTTGGGGCCAGCCTTGTGAAGTAGTGGGTAAAGCTGCTGCCTGGAATGCTAGCATCCCATATGGGCACCAGTTTGTGTTCTGGCTGCTCCACTTCCCGTCCAGCTCCTTGCTAATGTGCCTGGGAAAAGCAGCAGAAGATGGCCCAAGTGTTTGGGCCACTGCTACTCACATGCAAGACCCAGGTGAAGCTCTTGACTCCTGGCTGTGGCCTGGCCCAGCCCTGGCTGTTGCACTCCTCTAGGGAGTAGAACCAGTGGATGGAAGATTCTCTCTGTGTGTCTCGCTCTGTCTCTCTTCCTCTCTCTCTGTAACTCTGCCTTTCAAATAAATAGATAAATAAATAAATAAATTTTTATTTTAAAGGAGGAGACTTATCCTACGTATTGCAGAAGATTTTTGTGATAATGTTTTTTTTTTTTTTTTTTTTATTTGAGAGGTAGTTACAGACAAAGAGAGGGAAAGACAGAGAGAAACGTCTTTCATCCCTTTCATCTACTGGTTGACTCTCCAGATGGCTGTAACAGCTGATCTGAATCCAGGAGCCAGAAGCTTCTTCTGGGTCTCTCATGTGGGTACAGGGGCCCAAGTATTTGGGCCATCTTCTACTGCTTTCCCAGACCATAGCAAAGAGCTGGATCAGAAGTGAAGCAGCTGGACATGAACCAGCATCCATATGGGATACTGGCGCCACAGACAGAGGCTTAGCCTGCTATGCCACAGTGCCAGCCCCATGATGATCACTTTTTTAGAAAAAAATTTCATTTGTATATATTTGAAAAGCAGAGACAGAAAGAGAAAGAGAAAGCAAGAAAGAATGAGCTCCCAAATACCCACAACGGTCAGGACTGGGTCAGGCAAGAACTAGGAGCCAGGAATTCAACCCATGTCTCTCCTGTGGGTGGTAGGGACCCAGGTGCTTGGACCATCACCTGCTGCTTCCCAGGATGTGCATTAGCAGGGAGCTGGAATCAGAAGTGAAGCCAGGATTTAAACCTAGGCACTCTGATACGGATGCAAGTCTTAGCCACTAACTGAATGTCTGCTCTGCTTTATAAATGCTCTTTGTAAACTGTTGAACATGTGCACATTCTCTGTCACCGGCTTTTCCTCAGACCTGCAGTTATACTGTAGACTTGCCTAGGAGGACACGTTAGTGGTTTTGAGTTGAAAATAAGGACACTAATATTTGGAAACTCATTTATCAGCAGCGTACCATAGAGGTGTAACTATTTTGTCTCCTAGATTTTTTTTTTCCTCTGTAAACATGTTTTGATTCCAAAAATCTCTGTTCGGAACAGCACTATTGTAAGACATATGGAAAAGCAGAAGCCTTATGCTGCTCTGAAGTAATAGAGGAGGTTTCTGGGGGCAGGCTCGGCACACGAGGAAACTGTGCAGCAGCCCGGATGGCCGTGGGGCACTGGAGCTGGAGGGAAGTGGGGCGGAGCTGGGCTCTGCAGGCGGGGGACGGCGAAGCAGTAAACCACAGGACGGACCTGCCCGAGCAGCTCGGGTGGGACCAGGAGGGGACATGTTTCTGAACAAGGAGCTGCAGAAGGCACTTTGGAAGTGTTCTTGTTGCTCTTTATTTTGCAGGAAGGGAGGCTGAAGTTTAGAAAATTAGTGGTGGAGTTGATCTAGAACTCTGTGGAGACTTAAGCATTAAAATCCTATATAAATAATGGGACTTTTCATTGGGCATAGTCCCTTGTATTACATGTTTCAGACATTAAACCCCACCGTGGTGTCTAGTGTAAATTAGCCTGAGCTACCCTGCTGCAGTTGCGGAGTCTAAGCCGGTGCTGCAGGTCCTGCGAGGGAAGACCCTGGGCTGGGCTGCCGAGTAAAGACCACAAGCTCCGCTGTGTTCCCTTCAGACTGTGTGGAAAAGCTCTGTTGCAGCTTCCTCCTATGCATGATGGGAGCTTGTGAGGTGACACCTGGAAGAATACGTCCCCACCTTAGCACCCTGGAGGTGAAAGTGGGGACATCGGAGGACTGTACCTCTGTTAGGAGCTCCAGAGGGGGCTGTTCTGTATCCCACTGTTCCTTGGCAATGTGCCACTCACCTCACCACGTATACTCAGGGGTCCCCTGGAGGTCAGCACTCCCCCAGGCTTATAAGTGTTTGAGCCCATAGCTTACTTGGAGCAAGACAGAGGGCTATGGACTGTAGATTCTTCTTAATTCATTTGCTCTTACAAATTGTTTCTCACATAGATTTTCTTATGGTCGTTCGCCTTCTGCAAATACCAGTTTCTATTTACTCGTAATATGATTGGGCAAACTGTCATGAGAATAGAATAATTTAGTGACATTTAAAAATATTTATCACGTTCCTACTGAGTTACCTGATTTTTTTAAAAGATTTATTTATTTGAAAGGCAGAGTTACAGAGAGGTAAAGGCAGAGAGAGAGAGAGAGAGAGAGGTCTTCCATCCACTGTCCCTCCCCAAATGGCTGTAACAACCAGAGTTGGGCCGATACAAAGCCAGGAGCCAGGAACTTCTTCTGGGTCTCCCATGTGAGTGCAGGGGCTCAAAGACTCGGGCTGTCTTACACTGCTTTCCCAGGCTATAGTATAGAGCTGGATCAGAAGCGGAGCAGCCTGGACTTGAATTGGTGCCCATATGGGGTGCCAGCACTGTAGGTGGTAGCTTTACCACTATGCCACAGCGCCATCCCCACCTGCTGTTTTATGTATGAATATTTTAAGAGTCCAAAGGGCTTTAGTTGAAAGGAAGTGAAACCATAGACAAGAAAGCATTTTGTTGTAAAACACTGCAGCAGTCCCAGTGAATGTTACTTGTAGCACAGAATCCAGCCTCGGGAGGCCCAGTCCAGTTGGAAGGAACAAGCAAGTTGGCCACCAATGTGGTGTGAGGCAGCACAGTGGGCCTCTGTCCCTGAGGCCTGCATTTGCACGTTCAGCAAACCGTGGTCAAAAACACTTAGAAAAATCCCATCTGTAATGAACTTGTATGCTTTTTAAAAAATTATTTATTTATTTATTTGTTTATTTAAAAGAGTTACAGAGAAAGGGGGAAAGATAGAGGGAGAGAGATCTTCCATCTGCTGGTTCACTCCCCAGATGGCCACAATGGCCAGGGCTGGGCCAAGCCAAAGCCAAGAACCAGGGGCTTCTTCCAGGTCTCCCATATGAGTAGTAGGAGCCAAACTCTTGGGCCATCTTCTGCTGATTTTCCCAGGCGAGTTAGCAGGGAGCTGGATTGCAAGTGGAGCAGCTGAGACTCAATCCAGCACCCACATGAAATGCCAGCATTGCAGGCTGTGGCTTTACCTGCTATGCCACAGCGCCAGCCCCCATTTTTTTTCCTTGTCGTTTCTTAAACAACACAGTGCGATGGCTGTTTCCATAGCACTGACATTGTTCTATGAGCCATTGGGAAAGGCCTTAAAGCACAAGGGAGGGTGTGCATAGGTCGTGTGTAGTACTGCACCATTTTGTATAGGGGACTTGGGCACTTAGGATTTGGGTGTGGAGGTGGGGCACCCAGATCAGTCCCTGGGGTTTTCTGAGGCTGATATACGCTAAAGCCTCAGGAGACCTGGTGGGGAGGAACGAAGTCATCTGGGTGAGGATGAGGTGGTAAGACAAGTAAGTGCCCATGCAGTGGCAGAAGTGCAGTGGCTGGGGCTGGGCTGCAGTAAGGAATCACTTCCACAGAGGTGTGGTGAACATCTGACCTCTGACCCTGGCCTGCGTCTTGCTCCCTGTAGCAGCACTGCCTCCTCACTCTGCCTCTCCCGTGTTTCTGAGGGAACTGCTGGGCTGCAGCCCTGTCCCTCCCCACCCTCACCGTGACTCCGGGCAGAGGCCGGATGAGTAGCTGGCTCTTAGCCGAGGACCTGAGGGGTACCTCATGGTGCTGTCCGCAGGGCTATGCCCAGAGTTCTCTCCGGTTGCTCTGCCCTCTGCTAGTTCATTTCTGTCTTGTCCTTTCAGATGAAGCTGCTCAACTTATACATAAAGAGGGCCCAGACCACCAACAGCAACAGCAGCTCCTCGTCGGACGTCTCCACACACAGCTAATGCCAGTGCCCCTCTGCGTAGACCGAGAAGCAAGTGGTGGTGCCTCAGAGACCTCTCCCCACCCCCATCGGCTGCCCAGTCAGTGCACGGAGGCCCGCAAATATTTATTACAATCAGTATTTTGGTCCCTTCCAGCTTTTGTGTAGAATCTTACTGGTATTGAATGTAAAGGAAGCAAGGCCTGTATCACAATCTTCATCGAAACAGAAAGAATAGGAAACGGAAAGAGCCATACTTAACCATGTCTTGTGCCGCCTGCTGAGATCCTAGACCATGTGTGGCGTGCCAGCACTGAGTAGAAAGTCGGGTTGCTTTGTTTGCCCAGTGAGTAGCAGGTGAGGGTGGGTGGGGTGTTCCTTTGTGTTCTTCCTTCCTGGCGTGTTTTGCGTGAGTATGGCCTGTGTGGGGCAGAGTCCCCCCCTCCGTGTCACAGCCCGCACTGTGACAGTCTGTGTTTCTTTAAGTTGTGCTCTGATACCTACTAAAAATGGGACTCAGGTCTTGGCAAGCAGAGGAGAAAAGCCTGAGTATGGCCATTGAGCAAGCCGTGCAGAGTTTGGCTCGTCGTGCCCACGTGGGAGGCTGCCTGGAGTGAGCGCCACGTCGACCCCGCCTGCCCTTCTGAGCAGCTCCACAGAAGGGGTCCCCACCCCGCCGCTCCCAGGGGCCAGAGTTCTTCAAGTTTCAATCCAAACAGACCATCAAGGTGAATTTGTCACATCGTTTAGGGAGGCCTGCGGTGGCATTCCTGCAGCGGGAAGATACAGGAGAGGCAGGCTCATGCTTACATCATGGCGGGGTCCACCCAGCAGCTCGTCCTTGGGGGCAGCAGTGCTCCACTCCACGCCCTGCAAGCTCTGCCAGAACTGCACCGCTTCCAGAATGTTCTGTTAGCCCGATCACGGCAACCTTACCATCTAAATTTTGACTTCTCTGTTTAATTTGGGATTAAGAGCAAAGAAGAGTCTAGAGAAACCACGTATTAGAATCATTTCTTAAAATTTTATAAACCAAAGTACTTCCCTGATGGTTGAAATAGTCGTCATTCAAGGATAAAGTGATGGTGACGAGTGGCAGATGCAGAGAAGCAGCATTTCAGACCCACTTTCTAGAACTGTTTTCTTGCCTTGCACGTGAAGCCACCAGGCCCTCTTCTAGCCTCTCAAGGGTCTGATTGCTCTGACAAAAGTATAGACTCAGAGTCTGGTTAAATAAGCTTTGAGACAATTCTTAGCCAAATGGTAAATCTTAAATGCAATCATGAAGACTTCTGTTGTCTGTTACTGTTCTATTTTAGATCTGAATTGAACTGATTTTTTTCCATGAGGAAAATGCTCCTTTTGATGTTGATTTCAGTGAGGTGTTGTCATTCAAATGCTTTGTCCATTGCAGCCACTAGGACTGAAAGCTGGGCTGCCCAAGTGTGGGTTTCACCCCTGATTTCCACATCCCCCTCCTGTCCTCTGACCCTCCAGATTTAGTGTGGGGAAGTCAGGAAAGACAGTTTATTTGGAAATATGCACTGCAAATGAAGGCCTTGTGATGCCCAGGACCATGAAGCCAGGCTGTGGCCACTACTCTGTGTGTGTGTGTGTGTGTGTGTGTGTGTGTATGGAGGGGGTGTCTTACACGTGTTAAGCACTCCACTGCTGCTGTTTAGGGAACTTCAGGGGTGCATTTCAGGTGGTTGAATATTGAATACTACTTGGCTCAGAACATGGCAGGACCAGGCCTTACTTTTCGTTGTTAATATTTCACTAATGGGATTTCTTTTTTACACTCTGTAAGTGAGTCCCAAAATCTTCTGGTTACTCCTCTGTTGTAGAAATGTGTGTGCTGGTAAGATTATTTATGAGTTATTTTATGCCTGATCCAGGCAGAAGGACCTTTCCCCTCAAGGTCTTTGGCTCCAAGGTCCCCACAGCCCCCTGTGGAGTTGGAAGGATCTTGAACATCGCCTGGCGTCCTCACAGGACTCACCAAGGGCTAAGCCTCGGATGCCACTTGCCCAGTCCTCAGCCTCCCACTCAGAGAGAGGTACAGTCACTTCCGAGGTCTCGGCCCCAAGCTGAAACTGCTGCCCGCTGCACCGAGGGGACTCGCATGCCGCCACCGCCACCTCACCGGGAGGGAGGTCATGCCCACTGCCACCGCCCTCCCGGAGCCCAACAGCTGCCTTGCCACCGCCCTGCAGGGCTCCTGGTTAGACGAAACACCAGAACACAACAGAGCAGAGCACCCCAGACTGTGCCGGCCTCCCTGGCTGCCCGCACGGGGCAGGGGCTGGGTCGTCTGACTTCCTGCTTCCCCTCCAGCTGCTGCCTCCCTCTCCAGGCCGGCCTGGCGGTTTCTCCCAGGGCCCGCCTGCCTTTTCTATGGCTCACCTCTAGCTTACCGACACCCTGTGCAGGGAACGCGGCCGGCCTTGTCTCATCAGTCTTTTCTTTCCCTGCCACCTTTTCCTTATCACGCCTAATGTCATACCTTCAAGGAGAACAGCCAGAGAGCCTTGCAGAGAGCCCCACCAGGACCTGGCTAGCAGTCACGTTCGGAACTCAAACAAGAGACACTCTGCGAAGGATCAGCCACCGAGACAGTTTGGTTGGCACTCTGTTCACACGCATGGTCCCCACACCCCCAGGTTGGGTGGGTTTTTCAGTTAGTTTTTGTTTTTTTTTCCCCTTGGGCTTTTTCATGTTACATCCATATCTGTATTTATATCTTATTTGTTTCACTTTCAAGTGTATCATGGCAAATGTACAGATTTTTTTGTTAATAATGTGCTAGGATTTGCTAAAAAAGAAAACAACAAAAAAAAGTCCCTTTTGAGTTTGCCCTAGAATAAATGAAACTTAATTCAGTTTCCTGCATCAGTGCCGTCTTTCCCCCCACCACGCTGGGTCTCTGCCATGAGTGGCCAACGAGAGGACACAGGGAGGACACCAGGTGGGACACCAGGGAATGCCATACCTGGTGCTCTGGGAGCCACACCTTGCAGGGCGCGGTCTGAGGGCTGGGGGTGAAGCCCTGGGGGCTGGTGTGAGCAAGGGGTCTTCCTCGTCTGGGCGCCATCTGCTGCCAAGGACACTGGCTTCTGGAAGCATGGAAGTGGGAAGAAAGCCTCAACTGGAATCCCGAGACAGGACCCAGAGCTGCAGAGAGCAGATGGGTCTCCCCTCAGCTCCCGCTGCCCCTTCTGTGGGATCTCAGGCTGCCGGAGCTGGTGTGTTGGGAGGAGCAAGTACAGTCGTCAAGGGCTCCATGGCCACTTTGCAGCCTTACCTCTTTTTTTCTCCCATATTTTTAAAATTCTAAAATATACCTAACCCAAAATTCATCGCCATTTTTAAGTACACAGTTCAGTGGTATTAAATACATTCACGCCATGTGCAGCCATCACCCCCGTGGTGGCGTCTCTTCCTGTCGACCGTTTAAGCACCAGCTCCCCGCCCCATGCTGCCAGCCCCTGTCGTGTGGCCCCTTTGATGCTGGGCACACCCCTCCCCCATTGCCAGTCGTCCCCCCCAGCCTGACTTCCCATTTGTGTGTGGAGTTAATAACCACCTGGGGGAGGTGCCAAAGGTTAAGAGAGGTGATGTAATGAAGTCCCCACCCCTCCCACCCAGAAGCAGGCAAGTGAAGTCACCCCCTTCCCCCACGCCTGCACGCACAGTCCGTTACTCATTAGCAAGCGTGGAAAACCCCTGTGGGGACAGAGCGAGTTCAGACAGGGAAGGCAGCGTGGGTTTCTATATTTGGTACTCTGACCCCGGTGCCATTGCCCTTCCTTAGCCAAGGGCTGTCTTCACATCTTTAAGAGGGCCATAGGCAGTGGGTGGGCGCCGAGGTACAGAGGCTGGCACTGTGTTCTTGGCTTTGGGGGATCTGAATGTTCTCTGCAGAAAACAGGCACCTTTCCATTCGGCTCCACGTTGCAGACCACTGAAGCCATCTGAGGGTTCCCAGTGAAAACCTTTGGTTTAATGACCCCCCTCCCTGCCCCACCTGCCCTTGAGGTTTAGATTTGGAGGGGACTGGTGGCATTAATACCATTAGTGAGCCCCATCACACTTCTGAAGAATTCTCATCTGTGTCATCCAAAAGGAATTTTTTTTCCAAGATTTTATTGTGTATTGAAAGACAGATCTTCCATCTGCTGGTTCACTCCCCAGATGGCCACAGCAGCTGGATCTGGGCCAGGCTAATGCCAGGAACCTGGAACTCCTATCTGGGGCTCCTGCGTACATGGCAGGGGCCCAAGCACTTGGGCCATCTTCCGTTGCTTTCCCAGACACGTTAGCAGGGAGCTGGGACTTGAACCAGCACTCTGATAGGGAATGTTGGCATCAGGTGGCAGCTTAGCTCACTGCACCATGACGCCAGCCCCTTCTTAATGATTTTTATATCTTGAGGTGCAGCTAAGGAAGGTGCCATTAGGTTCTATTTCCAGATAAGGACACCAAGGCACAGGACAAGCCCCAGCCAGACAGTGACAAATGGAGTTGGAGCTACACCTGCCTCTGGCAGCTCTCCTCCTGCCCCACTGGGCTTCCTACCCTGGTCCAGCGTCCCTGAAGTCACCACGGTGTTCTCTGTGAAGCAGATGCGGGGCCCACCTGAGAACCTGCGGCTCTCAAGTTCCCAGGTGACGCTGCTGCTGCTTTTGCTTAAAACAGTGATGGGTAGTTTGTTCCCAAGCTTTCAGGAAACAACTCCGGACCTCCAGAATGTCAGACCCGCCCTGCCATCCCACCCAACTTAGCATCCAGAGCAGGACTCCTGAGAGGCAGATTAGAGGAAGCCAAAGTGTGTCAGGCAAGTGGGCCCCTGGCCCCTAGGCACAGGCTCCCCCACAGAAAGCTCTTGCCCAGCAAGGCCCAGCCCCACCCACCTGGCCTTTCCCGGCGCCTCCAGTATTTATTAACTCACACTTGAGTGGCTGCAGGCAAGAGTGGACAAAGGTCATGTGAATAGGCATCTAATCCTACACTGTGTATTTAAAAGGCATTAAAATGCCTCTGCACCGTGCCCTCCTCAGGCAGGGCCCTCAGAGGTTGGCACGTCAGGCCCGCAGCCCCTCCCAGAGACGGGCATTCCTGGGTCGATTCCCAGTGGTTCTGGGATGTCCCTCCTTCCCGAGCCCTGCCAGGCCCCCCGGGCTCCAGAGAGAGCAGTCCCTAAGAGGCGAGGGTGGCAGGCAGGGCTGTGGCTCAGGCCCTGCACCTCAGCAGCCTCTGCCCCTATGGTAAGGGCTGGGAGAGCCGCTCAGGTGCTCAGTGCCAGCACCCAGCTGCCTGCAGCCCTGCCATCCTCTCTTGTCCCCAGACCCTAAGCATTTTGGACCTGTCACTTGAGCCAACTGGCTCTGGCCGAGGAAAGCTGCAGTTTCTTCTCTGGCAAAATCCTAGCAATGGTAACGGGGTAGGGGGGTAGGGGGTCGGAGCAGGAAGATTAGCACACACTGTCCCCAGCACACTTCCTGGGAACCTCAACAAGTGCCAGCCGCTGCGGTTACGATTATTAGGGCACCCGCCCTGGTTTCTGACGCAGATGGTGCTGAATGAATGCTTGGCAGATAAATCAGAGAGTGAACATCCCTGCCCCTTATGATGCTGGGCCTGCTGGGAAAGACCGAAGGGGAAACCATGAGCTCCCAGGTGCTGTTCTGCCCGGGAGGGGGTGCCAAGACCCCCGCGGCTCTGGCCCCTCCCACCGGGCACCACTGTGACTACAGCAGTTCTTCGTCCTCCTCCAGGCTCCACCTCTGACACCTCATAGCCTGTCGGACATCTCCACACACCAGCCACAGGGGCTCCTGAACAGAGGATTGACAGTGGCCAGACGTCTGAGTGGGTCTGTGCACCTGCTGGGAGCCCCACCTACCCAGACGCTGGTGCCAGGCTCTTCCCTGAGCCTCCACCCCCACTGTCAGCACACCCCACGCTCTCAATCTTCCTTCTACCTCCGTGCCCCCCAGCCACCTCCTGCCGAGCCCCCTCTTCTCTCAAGGCAAGCCCTTTCCTGCCTCCTCCTTCCACCATCTCTACCCCCTGAAGCTCTTGATTCTTCTGATCCCTGACCCCTCATTCGGTTCTTGGGGGTTGGCTCAGGTGCAAGGTCTAGCTTGTCCCCTGTGTTGCAGCTACCATGCAGTAGGTAGCAGCCACCAAGATTCGAGAAGGACTGGTCATTGTCTGCTCCTGTGTTCGGGTCCCTGTCCTCCCAAAGATAATGTCCACTTCCTAGCTCTATAGGAAATCTCCTGGGTGTTGAAACCAACTGGTGGAGCCTCCAGCATCTGTAATGGAGAACCGTGAGTAATAGAGAGACAGACAAAATATCCAGCCACAGGTGAAACAGTGACTCAGCCTTGTGATGGAATGCTGTCCAGCCATTTAGGATCGTCTGCAGAACTTCATAAACACTGCAGGTCATGGCTTTGTGGGGAGGGAGGGAGGAAGGGAAGAAGGGAAGGAATGTCATTATATTCTTAAATTTCTACAACCTATATTGAATCCGTTAAAAATTAATTAAAAATTTTAGGCCAGCGCCGCGGCTCACTAGGCTAATCCTCCGCCTTGTGGCGCCGGCACACCGGGTTCTAGTCCCGGTCGGGGCACCAGATTCTGTCCCGGTTGCCCCTCTTCCAGGCCAGCTCTCTGCTGTGACCAGGGAGTGCAGTGGAGGATGGCCCAAGTCCTTGGGCCCTGCATTCCATGGGAGACCAGGATAAGTACCTGGCTCCTGCCATCGGATCAGCGCGGTGTGCCGGCCACAGCGCGCCGGCCGCAGCAGCCATTGGAGGGTGAACCAACGGCAAAGGAAGACCTTTCTCTCTGTCTCTCTCTCTCTCACTGTCCACTCTGCCTGTCAAGAAAATAAAAAATAAATAAATAAAAAATTTAAAAAAATTAATTAAAAATTTTAGGGGCCAGCACTGTGGCGAGGCGGGTAAAGCCACTGCCTGCAGTGCTGACATCCAATATGGGCGCAGGTTCGAGTCCTAGCTGCTCCACTTCCGATCCAGCTCTCTGCCGTGGCCTGGGAAAGCAGTGGAAGATGGCCCATGTCCTTGGGCTTCTGTACCCCATGTGGGAGACCCAGAGGAAGCTCCTGGCTCCTGGCTTCAGATCAGTGCAGCTCCGGCAGTTGGTGCCAACTGGGGAGCGAACCAGCGGATGGAAGACTTCTCTATCTCTCTGCCTCTCCTCTCTGTGTGTAACTCTGCCTTTCAAATAAATAAATAATTGAAAATTTTAAAGAAAATTTAAAAACACATATAAGAAAAAAACAGCTATACATGAATTTCAAAGTTTTTTTCACCAAAATAAACTTGTTTTTCATCCCGTTGTTTCCAGGACATGGGGAAAACTCTAAGTACTAAGTGGAAAATAAAAAGATAGGCCGGCGCCGCGGCTCACTAGGCTAATCCTCCGCCTAGCGGCGCCGGCACACCGGGTTCTAGTCCCGGTCGGGGCGCCGGATTCTGTCCCGGTTGCCCCTCTCTTCCAGGCCAGCCCTCTGCTGTGGCCAGGGAGTGCAGTGGAGGATGGCCCAGCTGCTTGGGCCCTGCACCCCATGGGAGACCAGGAAAAGCACCTGGCTCCTGGCTCCTGCCATCGGATCAGCGCGGTGCGCCGGCCGCAGCGCGCCGGCCGCGGCGGCCATTGGAGGGTGAACCAACGGCAAAGGAAGACCTTTCTCTCTGTCTCTCTCTCTCACTGTCCACTCTGCCTGTCAAAAAAATAACAAAGAGACAAGATAATAAAAAGATAGGCGATTTCCTCTTCTGTGAATGGACTTAATGAATTAAATATTGATAATCTTGAATAAAGCTAAACCCCATTACTTCCCTGTCTT